TCAATAAGAGAAAATAGCACCCTTTCCCATGCCATGTTAGCTAAGTAATAATGTGTTTATGTCAGTTAACCAAGGTCTAACTCACCTTGAGTTAATTGATGTTAATTATCACCGGAAAGTAAATGTTAGGTCCTTAATTGTGAAAAAAAAAGTGAAAGGTCCTTAACGGTGAAAATGTTAAAAGTGAGGTTCTTCTTTTATGCTTAACTTATATTGTTTCATTTATTTTGATATTATTTGCAGATTTAAAATTTGTGTTTATGATATGTTCTGTCCATTTTAACCATTTATATTAGACATAAGTGATATAAGTGATTGAAACTACCCATTGAGAAACGTTGTAAACTTGTAACCCATATAAATCACATTATTAACAATTTAGCACGGTCACACGTTTTAATATTTTTAAAAATAAAAACTCAAGCATGATTTTACTGGAAAACAAAGCACTAAGTAAGGGGAAAAAAAAGAAAAAAAAATACACGGATTAACAAAAAAGAAAGAAAAAAATAAAAAAATAAAAAAATACGTAGTACATAATCCAGAAAAAAGATTCTTTCAAAAAAAAAAAAAAATCCAGAAAAAAGAAGAAATTGATATGCAAGGAGGCAAGGACTGCGACTATAATTTTGATCCTGATGCAAACATCGTCCCTCTCTTAGTCTCTCCCTCCTTATCCTTCCTTATTTATTCCCTCCACAAAAACTGTATTTCAAATTCCAGAATTGCCAAGATCTCCAATCCAGGGACATGGGTGCTACCTCCTCCAATCCAGTCCGTAGGTTTGTTCTATATTTCTAATTTAATTCTATTTATTTATTAGTTATGATCTATGTATCAAAGAGATCATGTTATGGTTTTAATTTTGATCGAATTTTAAATCTGGGTTTTCTGGGTTTACTTTTTCTTCTGTGTTTGGTTTATTGTTAATTTAGGGCTTGCCTTGATTGAATTCTCTTGAATAAAAATTTAATGGTTGGTTTTTGGAAGTAAAGGCGAAAACTTGATCATCTGACTCTAAAGACTTGTTTTTTATTGCTAAAGTTTGGATTTTATGAAATAATTCAAACTGTTCCAATTGCGATTGTTATTTTGTTTCTACTTTGTTTGCAATTTGTTTTTCATTGTTTTGGTAATCCGTAATATAAAATTCCCCTATTTACCCAAAAAACAATATTGTTACTACATGAGATTCGGTTCTCTTGGTGAATTAGGTAACACTGGTTTCAATTTCAAACCCATTGATTATTTTCTGATATATTTTTCCTCCTTCAGGTGTAAGTTATTAGACTTGGAGGAGCGTAGGCCCATTAAACGACTCAAAAAAGGGGATTCTGCTCATGGTAATGGTATACTGTTAGAAGATAGAATCAGCAGTTTACCTGATGCTCTACTAGGAGACATACTCTCATTCCTTCCTACTAAGGATGCTGTTGTTACCAGTGTATTGTCTAGGCGATGGAGGCGTGTTTTCACCTGGGTAACACGACTCCATTTTGACGACTCACCTATATCTCTTTGTGTGGACCGTCCTTGTATGCCTGATTCTTTCCCCAATTTCAAGAGATTTGTTGATAACTTATTGCAACTGTGTCACTCTCACAACATTACCACTTTTAGACTTCACTTTGGCAGGGATGATCTAAGCCCTTACAAATTTAGAAGGTGTAAACAAGGTTGTTTACCTCAGTTAAACCCTATGCATCTTAATACTTGGATGTGTTTTCCATTAACCCGTGGGGTTAAAGAACTTGACATTCGTGCTCGCGTTAGGGAACCCGGTAAGCTGCCTTCGGCCCTCTTTGGTTGTCCAACACTCGAGGTGTTAAAGATCGATGTGAATCTTCATCTTGAAGTTCCTCTGTCTTTCTGTTTGCCAAACTTGAAAGAGTTCAATCTCACTTTACCCGTCATTCCTGATGGTGACTTCGCGACTAGGCTAGTTTCAAGCTGTCCATCCCTTGAACACTTGACTCTGGATGGTTACTGGAATCCTTTGAAACCCATTATTATATCTTCACCATCACTTCGTAGATTATCTGTAATGACTAATTGTTTTGGTAGTAGTTACCTAAGGACCGAGGTTGTACTTGATGTTACTAATGTGGAGTATCTAATGTATGACGACGTTTCTGCATCTCACTACTGCATTGGAGATCTGAATGCTCTTGTTGAAGCTGAAATCAACCAAAGTGTTCCTGAGGATACGCTTAACCTTCTTTGGCGGTTGTCTAATGTTCGTCGTTTGATTCTGATGAGAGAATGTGTAATGGTTTGTCCTTTGATCACCTTCAACCTTTTGTTTGTGCTTCAGAAATACTACTGTACTTTATCAAAAGAGTTGACTGATTTGCTCTTTGATCTAGGCTCTGCATTGTTGTGAATCAGAGCAGCTTAAGCTGCCTGTCTTTCGTAATCTGAATCATTTGAAGCTTGGTTGTCCTTTCTTTATTAGTTGGTATACATTGTTGATGGAGCTGCTTAATTGTGCGCCTTTTCTAGAAACACTTAGTTTACTGGAGGTTAGTGTGATGTCTTCTATTCCAGATAATTTAAAGTGACTTTTTAACTATTCTTGTGAATGTTGTTGATATACGACTTTATCCTCTTATATTTTCAGGGAATCGTATTTGATGATGGTGAGGACGATGAACAATATATGGAGATGTCTGGGCAAGAGTGTAAGTCTTGGAGTTGTACTCCCATAATCCCGTCTTGTTTGGCGAGTAATCTCAAAAGAATCTCAGTACACGATTACAAGCTGACAGAATGGGAACTGGAAGTGGTTAAATATTTTCTGAGAAGCTCATTAGTTTTGGAGGAATTGGATGTAGCTTTGGAATGTTGGAAGTCAGAGACTGAAAGGATATCACTCAACGAGACATTACAGAAGCTACCAAGAGCCTCAAAGACTTGTTCAATAAAAGTCCGTAGAGGGGACTGATTGTATGGGCACTCTGTAGTAGGTTGAATAACCAATTTGGCAGTGCCTCGTACGTTTCTCCGTGTGTTCTGTACTAAGTTATAAAGACATGACTGATAGTAGAGGTGGGCAACGTGCCGTGCTGGGCTGCCGCGGGCCGTGCCTCGCCGTGCCTGGTGGTGGCCCGTGTCGTGCCATGCCGGGCCACCATTTAGCACACCCCAGCCCACGGCACGGCACGGCCCCGGGCACCGGGCCGCCTGTAATTTGTTTAATTCTTTTTGAACAACTTTTAAAATGGATATACTATTTAAATAATTTTATTAATTTATATTTATGTTTTTTATATTATTATTGTTCTTTTTATTATTATTATTAGGAAAAATTGCAAGGAAGGTCCTTTAAAAAAAAAAAAAGTGGCACAGAAGGTCCTTTTATGGTGTTTTGGTTGTGAGGAGGGTCCTTTGATCAAACTCCGGCGTTGACCTTTATATTCCGGCCATAAAATGCCACATGCCGGTCACGTGACCTCTTAAATGATTTTGTTTTTTCTTTTTTTCCCTTTCCCTCTTCTTCCTCGATTTCCCCTTTCCCCTACAATTTCCCTCCCTTATTAACCCTAATTTGAGAAGAAAACTTCAATTCTTAACCTAGAAACTACAATTGAAGGCCAATTGAAGGCATTTAACGCGAGTCGAACAAGGGTAAGGTGGCAATCCCACATCAATTTCAAGTTTACTTTTGCAAATAGAAATTTTTCTTTGTTTGTTGTTCATTGTAGTTGCGCAATTAATGAAGGGGTGTAACTGACATGGTTAATTGGCAGAAGGATGTGATAAATGTGTTGTTGGCTGAGAAACACAGGATGGCCACTGACCAAAATGTCCTAAAGGCAAGAGTGACATGTTTGGAGCATGAGAACAGAAGACTGATTGAGCAAGTTCAGCAAATGCCTAGACATCCAATTGCAAACAAGGTCGGTGATGGTGTGATTAGTAATGATCAGTTGTTCATCTTGCTAGTGTTGTGTGCAATTGTATCAGTGTTGGCTAGTACATTAGTTGTGAAACTGTTTGGTTAAAGGTTGTATTAGTTGTTTAGGCATGTTGTTCTTAGTTGGAAATTTGTAATGAACCAATTTGGTTGTTCTTAGTTGGAAATTTGTAATGAACCATATTATTATCAATGAGAAATGAAATGAACACATATTTGGAACTAAAATGCTTCAATATTCTTGTTTAATTCATTCCAGAGCATTCAAAATACAACACATAAGTTCCAAAAGGCTACCCAAGTTCCAAAATGCTGTTAAACATGTCCATACATAAACATAAAAGTCACATACACATAAGTGACATACAAAACATGAAAGCTAATTTAAGCTAGCACAACTAAGACTTAGAAGCTGATCCCTGCAGTATCCTACTCATTGAGGTGGTCTTCTGCTTCCTGGGCTTAGCAACAGGGACCTTTTCTTTGCCCTTTGCTTGACTTGATGCAGCTGGAGTAACTGTTGGCTGGGAAGGCTGTGTTGATGCCTGAGACAGAGGTGGACCTTGAGACAGTGACTGTAATTGTGGCTGCTGTGAGGGGTCGGTTGCTGCAGTAGATGTTTGTGCTGTTGAGGTTGCTACCCCTTTTTGCTTCCTAGGCCTACCACCTTTGTTTTCAGCAGGTGGTGGTTTTAGAGGCCTAAAACTTTTCCTGGCATTGTGCTCTTTACCACCACATCTGGCACATGTGTTTGGCTTCCTTGCTCTCTTCATATTCTTACCTGTTCCCTCTCCCTGTGCTTTCTTCCTTTTCTCTTTAGAGGGTCTACCTGGCATGGCTCTGTAAACAGGGGCTGAGGCTGAGGCCTATCAGAATCACCCCATTGGTTATGTCCTGGCATTACATGAAATGCTGGAGCATATGTAGCAGCATAAGTGGCAATATGATAGGCTGGGTGTACAAAATCTTCATAGTTGAGTCTTCTTTTGGCTATGCAAGCTAAGGCATGCCAACATGGGATACCCATCAAAGTCCACCTATAGCAGCCACAAGTCTTGTTTTCAAGATTAACAACAAATGTCTCTTATTCATCATCCACCTCAAATTCATGCAAATCTGCTTGAATTATTCTCATGTTCCAAATCTGTTTCTGCCCTCTCTCAATCACCTTCACAACTGATGGCATGATTAAACCTTCAAAATCTTTCAAGCCTTCTCTCTTAGCACAACTTCTCTTCATGACATATCTTCTGATCCACTCCATTAAAGACAAGATTGGCTTTGTCCTAGCTTCCCGAAGGACATTGTTGAAACTTTCACAGCAGTTGTTTAGCAGCATCCCTAACTTTGCCCTATGACTAAAGCCATGTCTAGACCAGTGACAAACTGGTATCTCAGAAAGATATTGAAAAGCATCCCCACTCAACTTCCTAATCTCTTGCATAGGTTTGTCAAATTGATGCTGAATGGAAAAAAAACTGATCATAAGTACATGTATAAAGTTTGAGCTTTAAATTCAAGTGGAGGAAACAAACTAGTAAGACATACACACCTTAGTAGAACTCCTTGCAACCTTCCGGAAGCTCTCTTTGTATATCTGGCCTGGGAATTCGAGCTTAAAGTTTGCCCAAATATGTCTGCAACAAAACCTTGTTTTTGCACTTGGGATAACTGTGTTGAAAGCATCAAGCAGGCCCTGCAATTATTGGCACAGTGCAATGTTAATAATTGGCACAGAACAATCCTCACTCAATTTCATGAAAGCATTGAAGTTACCTTTTGTCTGTCACTCATGAAGGTAACTGGATCTTCATGCTCATGCACCCAAGTCACTGATGCAGCAACAGAGCGTATGTCATTGACCAGCAACTCAAGAAACCAAGTCCAGGTTTCTGAGCTCTCTGTTTCTACAACAGCCGAAGCAACTGGGAAAATATTGTTGTTACCATGTTTAGCAATAGCAGTAAGCAAAATCCCAGGCCAAGGTCCATTTAGATGACAGTCATCCACACCTAAAATGGGCCTGCAACTAGCCATGAATCCCTCTTTACATGGTTGCAAGCAAATGTACATCCTCTGGAAAATTGGTGGAGGGTTGTCTATGTTTTGTAGCTTCACAACTGCAGTGCTACCTGGATTGTACCTCCTGATTGCTTCAACATAATCCCATACTCTCTTGTACTCCTCTGCTGCATTCCCATGAATCATTTGCAATGCCATTTTTTTTGCATAATAACACTTGTAATACCCAGGTTCTACACCTAATTTTCTTCTCACTCTCTTCATGAAAGCACTCATTTTATATGTGGGGTCATCCCTCCAATCCTCCAAATACCTCTCAGGCCAGATACTCACTAGTAACATGTGTATTTACATGCTAATGCCCACATTTATGTTCCAGCATAAGACTTTTAATTTGAAAAGTCTCCTCATCTTTCAATTTCTTAGCATGTATCCTAAACAAACACTTCCTTCTAGTTGGACAATGACATGCAAAAAATTTTCCAAAGACAAAATTACATGCACACCTTTTAGCACAGTACACAGTTATCCTCTTACTCTTATTGTGCAAAAGCATGTAACTGTATCCATTCTCTATTGCATGGTGTCTTAATGCCTTTCTAAACACCTTATGTGAAGCAAATTTCAACCCAGCAGTAAGGTTAATCTTACTCTTGAAGTCAACATCAGGGTTAAAAACAGGGTACCTAACTTCTTCATCATCTGAACCAGCTTGACTATCCAACTCATCCTGACTATCATTCAAGTCATCATCATCTTCAACTTGTACTTCTCCCTGGTCATCACCTCTATGACTGTTCTGCTGCCTAGTATGAATACTCACCAAACTTCTATTCACATCTTCAGTTATCTCCTCATCAACATTGGCAGCAAACAGGTCATCATCACTTTCATCTTCAAAATCAAGATCACTCAAAACCACATCATCATCCTCATCCCCATCACAGTGAATAGCAGGATTCTCTTCACCTACTTCTGGAATGGAGTCAAGAGAAACAACTGGTTGTTGAGTGTATTTCAGGACCAGCTTCCTTTTTTTTTTGTTCTGGGTTGAAGAAGGGCTGGGTTGAGAGGCAGCAGTTTCATTTATGTTCAAGACAGGGATGGAGGAAGAAATGGGAATGGGTGGGCTTATATTTCCAGATCTACGGTTCCTGCATTCATTAGCATGTGCTCCCTCCTTTAATCCACTCTTTTTCTGTCCTATGTCATCACTTTGAGCTGACTGTGACTCACCCCCAACAGATACCCTTTCCTTATCCGATGATGTGGCAACTGAGTCAGCAGACATATAACTACCTAATGATGTGGACCCCCCCTCAGATTCTGTATCAGTATAGAATCCCACACCTGGACCATACATAACCCTCCGGGTTAGAAATTTAGGCACATGTATCAAAAAAAGATGATACCACCCATCTTTCTCAGGTGTGATATCATTATCATCTTTCAACCTCTCCCTCCATGTGAGTGAATAACACTAGGCGAAAATACATAAAACGCACCGGTTCAAACCCCCCTATAGCACCGGTTTTGAACCGGTCTGGATTTGGGGGGTGCTAAAACCCCAAACATTTCGCACCGGTTTAAAATCGGTGCGAAATCTGCCTTTTTGCACCGGTTCTGGGGGAGAACCGATGCAAAAAAACCTAACTTTAGGCACCGATTTTTGACCAGAACCGGTGCCTAAAGTACTGCGCGCCTTAAACATTAAACACTTTAGGCACCTATTCTTACTGTGAACCGGTGCAAAAAACCTTTTTTTTTTTTTTTTTGGCTATTAATTAATTATATTAATACCAATAATAACCTGCACATCCTGCATTAATTCTACCATCAATGTATATAATAATAATAATAATAATAATAATAATAATAATAATAATAATTATTATTATTATTATTATTATTATTATTATTATAATATTATTAATAATACTAATAATAATAATAAAAATTTCTAAATTGAAATAATAACAATTTCTAAATTGAAATAATAACAATACATAGATATTAATTAATAATCACAAATGCAATACAATGAAGTGCCATATATTTACAACTCCTTGTAAAAAAAAAAAAAGTGTCATATGTACAAACAATACTAATTATTAATGTAGTTAACAAGTTTAAATTAAAGTAAATGTGAAGAAAGACGCCAACATGTTTCGAACTTCATTAAGTTCTTTGCTCGTCCTCCTTTCTGTACCTTGCAAAACATGGATAAACAAACATTAGGTTAGAATTGTTAAAAATGGAACATATTAAAATATTTGGCTCAATAAAGAATAAGTCTGGGCTTGAGTTGTTAAAAAATGACCCAAGATGAAGCCAACTATCGCAAGCCAAATCGAAGCAATGTTCCTGCCAAACTGTTTTCTAGACATCTAAACAGTATCATATAATTATCAACGTTTTTCATTTTCAGATAGCTTGGAAGCATGACAGACCAACTAAGATAGCAAGATGAGTAATTCCGGAGTTGAAGAACCAAATAAGGCCAGAATGTCAAATAAACCTAAATATACAAGGATGGTGATATGACAAAAATTATTGCCAGGACTAATATTTCAATAGGGCAGTGTAGCTAATGTGATATAGTGAAATTCATAAGTGTAGTAAAGCAAAGAAATGGATATACAGAATAAACGAATAAGCAGAGACTTTAGGAAAGTTTTAAAAATTGATCGGAATCGGATAAGATTAAAAAATCATATCGCACCTACAATCCCAGACCTCCAAATGGCTAGACTTCCTAACTACAGGCTAAAAACAAAGTAAAATCCACTCAGCAATTTTCTGATTCTTTTCAATCTCCTTGATCACTACTATATATGTATAATCTGCTTTCTTTCCTTCTCTACTATAATTTATTCTCAAATTACTCCCCAAGCTACCTCATAACAGAATTCTATTGTCATTTTCTATAATGCTCCACCCCTGGGTTAGTCTATTACATTATGTTAAATAATACCTTAATCAATTTCTGTTTTTAAACGAAGAAATTCTAATATTCATCTCCTGGAGCTAACTACTCACCCAAACAAAAATCACAAAATACTTCTATCACAAATAAACGCAGCTTTATAGAAGTTAGCTAACAAATGGGAGCCAAAGGAGGGAGGGATTTAAAAATAATAACCAATTAATAGAAAGAAACAAAAAATTAAAGAGGAAAAATGAATTGAAGGATTAAAGCTAAGGGAAGACAACTACAAAGCAGTGAAATTTAAACACTGTCACAAGCACTAAACTAATTGCAGTTTCAACAAGTCACACAACTACAGTGTCTTCCAATCAGAATGGCAACAAAAAAATCAGAAATTGAAGGATACAATTGAAAAAAGATTAAAGTGCAAGAAAAAAAGAAAAAAAATCTCGTAATAGAAAATTATACAACAATAAAATCACTGAAAGTTAAAGCAATACATGTTACATTAATAAAATGACTGTAAGAGACTCTCTGCACTTATGAAGTAATGTATGCTTAAAGGGTGTGTATCACAACTGATAGAATAGTACCTTGTCTGCAGATCCGGCTATAACTGAACTTTCATCCTGTGGAACAATCTTAATGCTGGTAACCTGCAAAAAAATGCAATGAAGTGTAAATAGTTTAACATTTACTAGTCCATATGGCTTTTGCATTGCAAAACCACGCATAAGAAAGACCTTTGAATGACCACTTAGTGTAGATACAATCTGTCCAGAAGGTCGATCAAAGACAACAGCATTTGTATCAGTCCCTCCGGACGCAATGATATCCTATAAAAGCATGGATATATAAAAGCATGGTTTGAACAACGGCACTTCGTGCCCTGCTCCTCTTACAGTCGCAAATGTTAGCCCCTCGACCTAGGTTTCTGGTCAAATTAACACCTCTAACTACCATACGACTATACCATTAAGAATTACTCAGTAGCAAAGCTCAGTCTAGTTGGTTCATTGCATTATTCGAATCAAGTTCATCGCGACTAGGAATCTATCAAAGTTAAAATTACTAAGAATGCATGTGTTCATATTTCCCTATCCTTTCCTCTGCCTTGAGCTCCTCAAAGAAGGATCCAACCTACAAAGTTGGACTAGAATGGGTTTTGTTTTTTTTTAGGGAGCCACAATAACGGGTAATATTAAATTGAATTTTTGTCCATTTGTCCCATCATACCATCAAGAAAATACGACATATATCGTGCTAAGACTAACTTCATCCATTTGATACGCTCATTTTAAATTAGCCTACATTATATAATATTTAACTAATTGATGAAACTAGCATGTGCCCGTGCTAATGCATGAGTTTTTAAGTTAGTTATAGTGAAAGTCTGTTTAAAAACACGGCATTAATAATAGACAATAATAAAACTATCCGCTCCATACGACCACACCCACAGAAGTATACTACGTAGCAGATAGAAGATAAATGTTGCTTAATTGTTACTTACGCAGCTAATAGGTTGGTTGGACCAAATACGAAGATTGAAATTGCTTCAAGAGCTATTGTTGTTGAATCAAGAGACAAATATCTGGAATCACCCTTGCTGTACTCTTTCCCTATAAAATCAAAAATATTAGCAAATCGAAAAGAAAAAAAAAGGTAATGTCGTCGAATTATAGTGAAGTGAGAATAATCACCCTTTAAACTAACTGAAGGAGTTGAATTAATTGATATGAGCAAGAGAATTACATAATTCGGCGAAAATGGATCCAGTCTTGTCCTTGTAGAATTACAGACATGTTGTTACTTGTTAGATCAATCAACAATAACAACTACTATATCCATTCGTTTATGTTACGGAGTTTTTACTATGTTTCACATTCGATTGTTTCCTTTTTACACTTGTTCCCCTTATTAGATAACAAAACAAATAACCCATCAACAAAGATTAAATCATTTGAAGTAATTACTATATATTGAAGGAGTAAATCAATAACAAGAAGTAGAACCTTAATCCCAATGATAGTCGGCTATATGAACCAAAATTTTATCTAAGGAGGCGTGATGCTAGAATATAAACAGAGTAAATCGAGTAGAAAAAAAATAATACCTGAGAGAATCCATGTGAAGCAGAAAACAGCAATTGAAGCAGCAGCAAAAATACCCAAAATGGTTTTTGCAGAGTAAAGATTAGGGATAAAATCTGACGCATTAAAATCTTTTGGAAAATTAGGAAGATGAACCTCCATTCTTCTTTCTGTTC